GGGTAAACACTGCCACCACCCAGGGATGGGCTTGATTCTGGCTCTGCGCACCCTGGGAAACACAGGCCTAGTAGCCCTCGAGGGTACTTGATTCACTTCAAGAACTTGGGATGCTTCCCTCAGTCGGAAGCACCTGTAGTGGTCTCCCTTAGTCAGACGAACCAAGGGGATCCCAAGGCATAATCTAGACCCATGCCCACGCTAGGTACAAAGGAGAACTTTATTGGTTACAAGGGTAGGGTTGCAATAGGGTACAGGGTAGAGCAATATCAGAGAAATCCCATAGAGCAAACTGGCATGGCTGGGTAGCCTTTGATCATGCATCTGAGTTAGTGCAAACTATATATCTAGTTAGATCTCAGGTAGCTTACTCACAGGTATCATCCAGAGGCAGGCAGTTCCTTGATCATGAGTTTTGAGAGAGAGCAAGTTTCAGATGTTCCAGCTCTTTTCTCTCTCTTTTCTCTCTCTTTTCTCTCTCTCTCATGGCTGCTGCCTCCTCTTCCTGGGCAGTCCTTAACTTATTATAGCCCTTATGACCTCATTTACCTGGTCCAATGGAAGCCAGCACCTGTTGGCTGTCAGCCAACCAATTGGAAATGCATCACTAGTTGCTGGGCAAACTGGCAGTTCTTAGCTCCCCAGGGAGCCCAAGCCCCTCACCCAGGTATGTGATGACAGTCGCATAGGCAGAGGGAGCAGGTTTTCCCCCCTCCCTCAGGAATGTATCCAGCTCAGGTTACCTAAAGAGAGAGGGTAAGGTGTGTACTCTCTGCAGGGCCCATCTTGACCAAATTGTCACAGAGCAGAGTTTTTGGGGTGAAACAGAGGTGGCCTTCTGCCACAGTAGCGCGTGGCTGGATGTGGAGCTGCTGTTCCGCCTGGCTCTATGCTGCTGCTGCTCCACCCTGCTCCATAGGGCCCCCCAAAGCGTGGGGCCTGCGGTGGTCACCCCAATACAGCCCCCCACTAGGGGCGGCCCTTGCTCAGGTGCTTGTACACATAATGAAAACTTATCTTTGTGTGGCTTAATGGTGTCACACATTACATGTACACAAGTTTGCAGGGTTTTAAATGAGTTTGCATTGCTGAAAACTGAACTACATCCCAGTGCAGTTTAGTTTGCAACATTACAACTTGAAATGTGGCAGCTATTTGTCAGTTCTCCCCTTGGCCATGGGAGGCGGGCAGGCTCTGCAGGAAAAAAAGGATTGGGCCTCTCACTGCTCCTGCCTTCAGCAGGCTCCTGCAGCTGGCAGGATGCCTGGTGCCAACCGGGAGTGGGCTGGCTTGCTCCTAGGGCAGGGTGGAGAGGCAGCAGGAGGGTGGTGTGCTGGTGACCAGAGAAGGAGGTGGGGATGATGCATGGGGTGTGGGGCCACCCGGGCAGGCTGCTAGGTTCCCCAAGCCCAGGAAGGAGACCGTAAGGTCAACTCTAAATATCAGCTTCAATGTACATTAAGTGACTTGTCAGTATCCAACAGGGAGTAAATGACAGATTTGAATCTGAGCACCTGTCCACAGTAGTGACCACACCACCCTCCTTTTTTTCTGCTGCTAACACAACAATAATTACTGTCCTCAATGCTAATAGCAAATCACTGTGTAGTGCAGATGAGGGGAGCAGAACTAACGAGTGCAAAACCCCAGGATTGTAGCTCGCCCTGTATAAGGCAAATGACAGCAAAGAGAGAGAGAGTTGCTTACGCTCATTTCATCCTTCTGTGTTCAGAGATGTGATCTGGCCCTTGGCTGGTGATGGCAGGTCTTATATAAACGTAGTGGACTTTTGACAAAGTTGCCAACCGAATAAAGCTTGCAGCTTGCCAGTAACAAAAAATGTTCTTGATATCCAGACTTTTTTTGCTGACGCATGCTTTTACTGATGTTTTACATAATGTAAATATAACTCTTCTGCCAGGCCCTGCCCTGTTGCCAGGTCCCAGTTAGAAGGGCTGAATTTAACATCAACCACAGTCTAAAAAAAGGTAACAAAATTTTGGTTGTCAGTAAAAAGTTTTCAATAATAAAAATTCTTGGGTTGCAACCCTGTTTGACTGCAGTGATGGTTTTAAGCTGTGCTGTCCCCTTCCCCCTCCTTGCCAGGGTCCCCACTTCTCACTCCTACACCCTGATGTTCCCTGGCTGCACTTTGCACCATGCTTCTTCTCCCCCCCAGTCTTATTCCCATCAGCTCTGCTCCCCCACACCCCAGCACAGACCCTCCAAAGAAGCTTTCTTGCCAGTAATATTACAGGCAACCTGGGATGCAGCAGCCCATGGCTGAGAGACTGCTTCTTGAAGCTTGCTGTGCTCCCACTCAAAAGCTAGGTGGCATACTATGCTCTAGCTATTAGAGCTTCAGTCAGGTTGTGGCTGCTTAGTGTTTTTACTGACAGCTAAAATTTTACAGACTTTACTGATAGGCATTTTTAGCCTATTTTTTTCTTAGAGTAAATTTACTGACAATTAGCAACCTTGACATCTATGCCAGAAAAAAGCTGTGTGTGGAATGTCATTTGCAGTATAATAATGTATATAACACACTTTGGCAGGAGATAAATAGAAAGTTTGTCAAGCAAAGCCTTCACAATATGTTTTTGAAATATGGTTAAAGATGCCCTTTAATTCTCTTTAGCCCTGGGGCAGTAGTTGTATAGTGTTTTTAATGACTATGATACTAATTTATACAGCCCCCAAATATGTGCAGTGCACTTAATTGAATAAAAGACAAAGACATGGTTCTTAGCCTAAGGAGTTTCGAGACTAATTTTAGATATGCCTCAACAAGGCAGAGTCACTAACAATTGGAGGGGACAGGCAGAGAAAATGTTTGGGTTACAGTAATAAAATCTCTCTCTTAGTCAGTGTTAGCAGTACCATTAAAGTAAATTCTTTTCATCAACTCCTTTTTTGTTAGGAAGAAGTGTTTGTTTGTTTGTTTGTTTGTTTTTTTCCACACGAGATTTTATATAAGAGCTGGTGTTCTTGCTTCCCCCCCGCATTGTGCGTATGCCCACAATTTTCATTTACAAATGGTTTAAGTGATAAAATGGTAGGATAACATCACAGCAAAATATAAATGTGATGCCTGTGAGCAAGGATTTTTAAAAAGATCCTTAACGTTTATCATTGGCAACGTACAGTTTCATGCATTTTAATTCCAGACATTGACATCCCTCAACATGCTCTTTCATGTCCCCCACAGTCTCTAGTTAGATCAATGAGGAAGTGCCAGCTGTGACCAAGCCATAGAGGTGTCAAATGAAACAGTATTACCATAGTGGCAGTGGATCTTTTAGATTCACTTTTTGCCAAAATGTAACGCCAGGTTGGGGATCAGCATGTCAACTACAGATTATACTCATTATGTATAATTTATTACATTTCATTTGGATTTGTGAGAAAACCACATCCCCCTGGTAAATTTTCCCCTGCCAAGCAGGAATTTCAGTGCTTTTTATTGTTCTTCAGTAAACCATGCTGCACTTACTGTAACAGGAGAAACATTCTGTTTGTGGTGTGGGTTCTATATCGGAAGCCAAGGAATCCAAATATGTGCTCTTCATTTCTCTTCCATGCCCCTTGACTTGGTTTTCCTATTGTAGTATATTTTTTATAAACCAGTAGAGATTGCAGATTTAAGGGAGGTACACCTTTACTTTCTTGTCAATTAGTGAGATGGTAGGCCAGTTGGATGCTCATCTGAGCAGGATAGTCTTGTGGTTCAGAGTGAACTGGATTCAGGACCCTTGCATTCACATTCTGGCTCTGCCACACAATTTCTGCCTGACCTTGGACAGGTCCCTTTCTCTTCATCTCGGCCGTACTTCCCTATCAGTAAAATGGAGATGTTTTAATGGTGGTTATACTACCTTGAAACTTCGTTCTGAAGTATGTGGGAAGTCAGCAGAAGTTCATAAAGCATAAAGTGGACAGGATTTCCAACTTGCTTTTTAAAAAATTTCCGATTATACACAGCACTAGGCTTTGGAATCCTTTGTCTTTTGGTGGTAGTTGCCTTGTAGAGTCAGTTGCAACGTTGTCTAACTTGAAAGTCCTTGTAGCTTGAAACCACATTGTACAGTCTTTTTCTTGTTATATGCTGATAATGGTTTTACTTTGTCGTATTATATAGTCCCAGTTAAATGTAATTTGCTTGTACGTTCGCATTTATGAGGTCAGCATGTGATTTTTTTTTTTTGTATAGTTTGCTGACTGATGAATATTGTACCATCTATAAATTAGATGTAGACATGTATGTATTAGACACATTGGACCTGAGAAACGAGATCTAATTTCACAGAGATATTGACACTGACCTGGGAGAGGTTCCCCACTTCTTTGTTTTTCATCTCTGTAAAAAAATGGACATAAAATACCAGGGTGAATGTTAATGTTTTACATGCATGTTCAGTCACTTTGTGTGGCTATATGAGATTATGGAAGGCGCAAGACACTGGAGAATCCACCCCGCTGCCTGATTTTAGAGGTTGATAAATTACCTAATTGTGACCTGCATGCCTCTTTTTTGTGTTTTTTAAGGAAGAAACTCTGGGAAGTCCATGGATTTTGCTTCTCAATCCTCAGATCTTGGCAGCTGGCTAAATGTGTGGGATTGGGCTACATGTCTTCTTGCCAGCTTCTAGGTGGTGGCAAAAGCCTTGCCCCGCTCAGCAAAGAAAGGAGGGTTGTGTCCCAACATGTAGGAAGCATAATTGTGGCTTAAAGCTTCCTTTCCTTCTTCTGCATGCAGTTCAGGAAGAGAAAAATTGAGAATTGGGGCCCATGGATATCCATTAAACTCTGAGATGCTTTGAATGTTTGACCTGACCTAATCTTTACTTTGGGTAAAAAGTCTACTTGGGCAGACCGGGTATGGGGTTCTTTTTCTTGCTCTGGTTTTACTTTCCTAGTGCTACATGGCTTTTTAGCAGTCGCTCTGCATTGCTTGTTTAATTTCTCAGTTTTTTTTTTTTCTTTTTTTCCCTTTTACTCAGGGTTTGATTCAAGAAATCCATGAATTACAATTAAAAGTGGGAGAAATGGACAATGAACGGCTTCAGTATGAGAAAAAGCTTAAAACTACTAAGGTAAGTGGCACTGAGGGAATAGGGAAAAAGGTGGGCATCTGCCAGAAACTTTGGTTTTGGATTTAATTTTCAACCTCTCTGAAGTCGTGAGGACATTTATATTCAGGGACTTCATAATGCCCATTAAAAGGCAAATAGGAGCTGCCTACAAATCTTATACTGGATTTCGATTTCAAACCGCAAGACAGTTTAGGTCTGGTGCACCTGATCCCTGATTTGGTTCAGCGGAGATTTATCCTGTTTCGGTGGCTGAATCTGAATTGAATCAGAGGACTATTTAATCTCTCTGGATCTAATCGGAGCTCTCTGAATTGATTCGGCGATTCAGACATAGACAGCTTCAAATATTTTTCCTACATACCTCTAGGTAGCAGGGGCTCGTCAGTGCTGTGATGCTGGGACACATGGAGTATCCCACAGAAGCACGGGGGGCTCCCTAGTGTGCTCAGCAGCAGACGGGGAAGTGGATCAGAACCACATCTGGTCTGCTTCTGGGTCCGCCGTGGAGTGCACGGGGGGGCCCACACTTCCCTAGCTCGGTGACCGGTGCCTCCTGGGTCGGGGGGGGCACCTGGGGTCCCTCTGCAGCTGATTACTGAGCCGGGGAGGCACAGGGGGGCCCCCCCCTGGTGTGCTCCCTGGCAGACCCAGAAGTGGACCGGAAGTATTTGCAGTCCACTTCCGGGCTTGCCACCAAGCACGTGGAGGGCTCCCCTGCACTCCTGTGGGATGCTCCACGTGCCCCAGCATTGCAGTGATCACGAGCCGCACTGGTACCTCAAGGTATGTAGAAAAAACTTTTAAAGCTGTGTCTGTCCAAATCTCTGATTCTCTGAATCAGCATCAAATCTTTGGATTCGGCTGAATTGAGTCGGGGACAGCGATCCAAATCAATGAATTGAATCACTGTCCCTGATTCGGGCTGAATCCGAATTGAATAGGGCCCGCTTTGCATACCCTAGCGCACAGTATTTTTGAGCGCCGAATTCTGAGAGCCCAATTTCCCATTAGTTAACTAGCTGTTAATGGACAGTTGGCCTTTTAAGTTATATTTACATCTTGTACTTGTGTGCAAGAGGAAAGGAGTGAACTGTGGGTGGGACTGCAACAGCATTTATTTTCTCCTAAATATGCTGCAGATCATCCAGTTCTATCCTGAGGAGACAGTAGTAAAAGGCAGAGCAATTATAGCAGTCTGTTTCTCTAAGTGTCTAACTACTACTTGCCATTTAGCCTTGTCTCTTTTCTATCTTTAGTTTTCTCTCACTGCTCTATCTCTGTTGCCAGTCTTTAATGGCCAAACTTTCTAGCATGAAAATCAAAGTGGGTCAGATGCAGTATGAAAAGCAGCGGATGGAGCAAAAATGCCACATGTTAAAGGTGTAGTAGATTGTGGGTAATATTGGGCCTTTCTATAACACCACTTTGTGGTCTCTTCTGCATCTTGCTGTCATGCTGTCTTGTTTGCTTTTTTAAATTACTTTCTGTTGACTTGCAGTATATTGTTTTTCAGATATTCCTTACAAATTGGTTTTAGGGCATAAATAGGACATATGATACATTTCTGTGTTGCATGAGCCTTCTGTACATTACCATAAAATTAAATTGGTTTTACATGTAAATTGAAAATGATCATTTAGCTTGCCCTCATTATTCAAACCAAACTCTTCCTGACTTTCCTAGAGAAGTCCACACACACGTGTTCTCTCATTTTTTCAGTTCTTACCAAATACTTGTTCATGCAATTTGCAAACAAGAAAAAAATAGTTATAATACCATATTCAATACAGTATAAACATAAATTAACAGGTCAACCAACAGTCCCACTGAAGTTGATACTACTTAAAAATGCAGGCAGAGAACTATTTGCTGAAAAAGTTTCTATCACTTGTCAATTTTTAAATTAAGAGTGGCTGCTCCTCTGCAGCCACTACTCATCTAATTTTAACAAGCATTGATTTAGAGAAGTCTTGTGGCCTGCATTGTACAGGAACCTGATGACTGCAGAGGTCCCTTATGGCTTTATGAATCTATTCAGTGAAGCTCAGAAACATGTTTAAACCAGGATGTTGTAGCTGGGCTAAAAAGTTAAGAACTGAATAGAACAGTCAAAAGGCAAGCGTGCAACTTTTAAATAGAAAAGCTGAGATGAAGACATTTTGAATATAAAACATGTCTGCAAAAAGGGTCTTGTCTTGCCATGGCTTATCATGTGAGGATCCTACTGAAGCCAAAGGAACCTGTTGAACAGAAATGCAGTTCTTGGAACCACAGTTTAATACCAAGTCAATGACTATGGGGAATAAATACAGAAAAAAGCGGGAAGCGTTTCTGTCCCCACTTCCCCAAACCACCTTCAGTTTTGAGTGCTCCAGTGAGTTATGAATCAATTCCAAGTGTTCTTTAGTTTTGGTTGTGCAAATAGTGGCAGTGGCCTTTGATTACTGTGTCAGTGGTTTGGCCCATCCACAACATATGGAAACTAACAAAGACCCTCTTATGTTGTCAGAATGGAAAATATGCTTACATGGACTATCTAGTCCATGAGATTTGGTTTTGTTTGCTTCCTTAGTGCCTCACCACTAAAAATTGCTTGCAGTTTATTTTCTTTAATTTTGTCTGAATTTCTTTTCAGCGTGTGTTGCTTTTATTGTATTCTGACTGATTTTCTTTCATAGCTAGCAGTGTGCATTGATAAAACTGTTGTTCATGGCTTGTTTCAAAGAGAGAGAAATCTGCATTTACAAATCATTGAGCATATGCAATAAGCATCTGCATCCCGCGTGTTCAGCTATTACCTGTCAAGGTACCAGGCCTCAAATTTAGCATGTTTTATTTGTTGTACAATTGTTTTTCTTTCAGAACTTTGAATGTACGAAGTGCTCTGGAAGTGCCAAGTGTGATTGTTTGTGACATTAAGCATTTAGTCTCATTATCTTTTATTTTACTATTTATGCAAACTGAAAAATAGTCTCCTTCCCAGAGCTATTTTAAATTTGGACAAAGATTACAGCCATACATTTAAACTGGAGATGAGACCCAATATATTAAATTTGACCTGAATCCAAACTGTTTCAATGTTTGGAGCTGTTTGGTTCTTGGGGGATGTGTTTGTCCTCTTGCAGAAATAGCATTTTTCTGCCAAACTCCCATTTGCCATTCTAGTGACAGATCATCACTTGCTATAAATGGTCCCATGCCCATAGATTTGAACAGGTCTGTGATAATTTCCATAGACTGGATATTAGCCCACTGGACTCTTTCATTATGATGTTTTCTTTGGGAACCATCTCTGACTTAAATGGCAAAGTTTTATTTAAAAACCCCCTTCAGAACTGAAACCCAGCTTTTCTTATAGATAAGTGTTTATGTACCTTTTCAGGATGAACTGGCATCTTTGAAAGAGCAATTGGAACAGAAGGAGGAAGAGGTAAAAAATCTACAAGAGAAACTGGTTTGCAAGATGAAAGGAGGAGGAGTTGATTTAATTGACAGAGGTAAGGAGGGAGGCACTGTGTTCATTGGAGCTGTGCAGAGAGACATCTCTTGCATAACAGGGCTGTCTCACTTAGTCTGAAGATAATGTTTAAGAACATAAGAATTGCCATTTACTGGGTCAAACCATAGGTCCATCTTGCCCAGTGTGTCACACAGTGGCAGAGAGTGGATGCTGAAAGGGAGAGTGAACTGGGTATGACCAGGGTGTTTTCCCCCTGTTGTTTCTCTCTCACTTGCTGCCTCCAGCATTTAGGATCTAGGAAGTTCTCGTGCCAGACCAGTTTCCCTAACTCTCTTGTTCAATAGCTGCCGATGCCCCTTTCCTCCAAGAATTTGTCCAATCCGTTTTTGAATCCAGGTAAACTGTCAGCTTCCACAACATCTGGTGGAAATGGGTTCCACACTTAAAGTACATGCTGTGTGAAAAAGAACTTCCTTTTGTTAGTTTTAAATTTATTACCTTCTAGTTTCATTTTGTGAACACTAGTTCTTGTATTGAGAGAGAGTAAATAAATTTCTATATAATTTCCCTTCACCATTTAGTATTTTGTAAACTCTTATCATGTCACCCCTCAAGCATCTCCTTCTACACTGAAGAGGCTCTCCTCATATGGAAGCTCTTCCGTACTGCTAACCATCCTTGCTGCACTTCACTGTACCTTCTCTAGTTCTTCTATATCCTCTTTGAAGTGTGGGGATCAGAACTGGGCACAGTATTCAAGTTGTGGCCACACTATGGATTTATAAAAGGGCATGATGGTACTTTCTGTTTTGTTCACAATTCCCTTTTTAAGAATCCCTAATCGGTTTTTTCCCCTCTTTGATGGTTGCTGAGCACCGAGCTGATGTTTTTCGCGAACTATCCACATTGACTCCCAGATTTCTTTTTAGTGTGGTAATAGCTAACGTAGGGCCCTTAGTGTAGATATAGTCTGGGTTATTTTTGCCCATGTGCATCACTTTACACTTACCTACATTGAATTTTATCTGCCATTTAGTTGCCCATTCACTCCTATAGCAAAATACTTCTGTAGTTCCTCAAGGTTTGCCTTGGTCTTTATCACTTTGAATAATTTTTTGTCATTTGCAAATTTGGCCATCTCACTACTCACCTTCTTTTCCACATCATTTATATGTTAAACAGTACTGGTCCCAACACAGATCCCTGGAGGACCCACTGTTTATTTCTTTCTGTCCTGAAAACTGACCATTTTTCCTGACTCTTTGCTTTCTATCTTGGAGCCAATTTCTAATCCACAAGTGGACATTCCCTGAAATCCCATTACTTAGTTGACTTAGTTAAGAGCCTCTGATGGGGAGCCTTGTCAAAGGCTTTTTGGATGTTCAAATATACTGTGCTAGCTTTCTTTTGGTCCACTTTCCATTTTTTTTTCCCATGCTGCCTACAAGTTCCTTGCCTCTTTAGGGGCCCCTTGTAACTTTCTTGTTTTTGTGTTGTCTCCCTTTTCAAAGTTAAAGGCTGCTGTGGTAGATTTTCTTGTCTCCCTTTCTATGTGGATATTGGACCCAGTTGCATTATGGTCGCTATTGCAGAGCAGCTCAGTAACACTTACCCTTTGAGCCAAATCCTATACATTACTTAAGTTTAGGTCAAGAATGGCCTTTCCTTTTGTGGATTGCAGGACTAACTGCTCCAAGAAGTAGTCTTTTATAAAATCAAGAAATCTGATTTCTACGTACCAGCCATCAGGTAAGTTAGATTGACTTAGTCTATTTGTGGGCAGGTTCAAGTCCCCCATGATTACTTAGTTTTCTACTATTGCAGCTTCTCTCAACTTCTTTAGCATTTATAGCTTACTGCTGCCATCCTGGTCTGGGGCTTGATAATAACATACTTGCTCATAGTATCATAGTACTTAGGGTCGGAAGGGACCTAAACAGATCATCAGGTCCGACCCCCTGCCCTGGGCAGCAACAGGTGCCGGGGTCATATCATCCCAGCCAAGTATCTGTCCAGCCTCCTCTTGAAGTCCCCCAAGGTAGGAGAGAGTACCACCTCACTTGGGAGCCTATTCCAGAGCCTGGCAGCCCTAACTGTAAAGTACAGGCAGTCCTTGGACTTACGACACAATTGGTTCCTGAAAACTGTGTCTTAAGTTGAAACGTTGTAACTCAGAACCAATTTTCTCATAAGAAACAATGTTATAAATGGGGGATTGGTTCCTGAACCAAGACCCGATACCCTATTTTCACCAAAAATACCCCAGAATTTTGTACTCGATCAATTATAGAAGAGTAATATAGCTACATTAATGTATTTATATTGTAAATAGCAATCATATTGATTTGGAAAGACTTCTTTGAGGTGACTTTGCCGTACTTTTTGAAGGGCTCTTGGTTAGACTTTTTGAAGGGTTCCTGGCTGGAGTCTTCTCAGGAGTCTTGGCTGCAGGTTCTTCTGGAGTCTTGTCTGCTTTCTTAAAGAAAGTGTCCAAGGAAGGTTGGACAGATGTTCTCCAGGGAGACGAGTGACATAGCGAACTTGTTTGCTGGTGTGGGGTTGAATCGGATCAAGCATTGTAAGTTGAAACTGATGTCATAAAGTTGAAACAGGGTGTCAGTTTATAAATGTAAGTGCGAAACGTTGTAACTCGAAACGTTGTAACTCGAGGACTGCCTCTAATGTCCCCTGATGTCCAGCCTGTACCTTCTGCCTAACAATTTGTGGCTGTTATTCCTAGTAATCCCAGGTGGTGACTGGGGGAACAGTCTCCCCCAATTCCTTCTGGTCCCCCCTGGTGAGTTTGTAAATGGCCACCAGATCCCCTCTCAGCCTTCTCTTGTGGAGGCTGAAGAGGTTCAGGCCCTTTAGTCTCTCTTTGTAGGGCCTGCCCCGCTGACCCTTGATCATGTGAGTGGCCCTCCACTGGACCCTCTCAATGCTGTCCACATCCCTCTTGAAGTGCAGCGCCCAGAACTGGATGTGGTACTCCAACTGTGGCCCAACCAATGCCGCATAGAGGGGAAGGATCACCTCCCTGGACCTGCTTGTGATGCATCTGTAGATGCGTGACAAAGTGCGGTTAGCCTTACTGACCGCTTGCTCCCATTGGTGGCTCATGTTCATCCTGGAGTCGGCAATGATTCCAAGATCCCTTTCTGCCACTGTGTTGACAACAAGGGTGTTTCCCAGACTATAGGTGTGTTGCTGGTTCCTTCTCCCTAGATGCAGTAACTTGCACTTGTCTGCGTTGAATTCCATCCTATTCTCATCCGCCCACCTCTGTAACCTGTCTAGGTCTAGCTGGATTCTGTCCCTCCCCTCCAGCATGCCCACCTTGGCCCGCAGCTTGGTGTTGTCAGCGAATTTGGACAGCGTGCATTCCATACCCACATCCAGATCGCTTATACTCAAATATAAGAAGACCCTGATTAGAAAATGACCCCTCAATAACTAGATTCTATGTATGGAAAATGTATAAATTTATTATTTTCCAGGCATAGAATCTAATTATTGGAGGTGTACCTTGAATTTGCCCCCCTCCCACTGCTATACCAAGGAAAATAAATCTTGGTGATGGGGTGTCAGGTGGCCTACTTGTCCTCTGCCCCCGCAATTTCTTTCCCCTGCAGCCTCTTCCTATCAGACTCTACTCTCCCTAGCACATGGAAACGAGGGACACATTTTGAAAACACTGACTTTGAAATAGATACACTTGAAGTAATTTGCATCTTATTAAGATTACCCATAGACTTGGTTCATCTAGAATTGATGCATTTTACCTTTTCTGAAACTGCTGCAAGTTTTAGCACAGGTATTCCATGAACACACTGTTAAGCAGATAGAGTATAAACTATGCATGATATAAGTCCAAAGCCAAAAGCATTATGATTTATTATACAGTTCATTGGGCTGGGCCCTAGCACAGTCAACAGCATGTCAAGCCATGGTAACCCCATAGCTCAGAACTGTTCAGTATACGTATGTGTACTCCAAATACCCACCACAAAGGATCCATGTGCTAATTGGCCTCTACTCATGACTGGAACTGAGTGTTCTTGTCACGAGTCCTGGGATCCTCCAAAAATTATATGCAGATTAGGCACATAGGAGTCTTGTCTGCCTCTACCTCATGGAGGGTGGGAACACAGTAATCATATGTGACAGGCTGAAAAGAGGGGCCAACAAAGGCATTCTGAGTGAAATTTTTGGTGCCCTGTTTGATGATGTTTGCCAGGCACTGAAGGTTGGTGAAGAAACAGGAATCATTGGAAACTGGAAAGAAAGCCACAGCTCAGGTGTGGGAGTGAAGAGGAAGTAAAATGTACTCTGTGTAGTGGCTCACCATGACTTGAAATCTCAAGAGTTGACGGGGGGGGGGGGGGGGGAATGGCTACATGTGTTATTCAGATGTTCTACATTAACATAGCCTTCTGGTAGGTTGCTATCAGTATGAAGCCCCAGGTGGGGTGGAGGAAGTTTGCCAGTAGTAGGGCCACTTAGGGTTCTTGACTGGCTCACGGATTTGGGAATGATTTGGATGGGAACACGAAAAATTCTCTTAGCTATCAGTATGTTTGTTTAATATGGGCCATGTGTTTTATAGTCCTGTTCAGTGTTGCTTACATTTAATCAACTTAATAGCTGGCTTCCATTACTGAGCACATGCTGCTTTTCTCAGCAGTTTAATGATAGTGTATTTAATAAGGTTTCCTTATATGTGAATATAGGACAAGGAGCTTTTTTCTCTATGCTTGTTGCGGGGAGGGGGTGTATTTGAGTGAATAAGGTATATCCCATGATCTACTGTTTTTCCTTTTGAAACCTGGGAATTCTATCCACAAAGCTTCTATGGTGCCTTGCTTATCAGTTGAAAATCTACCCTGTTTGATTTGGTGCAGTTTTTGATGTAGAGTGCCACTTCCCCACCAGAATGACCTACTCTGTCATTCCTGTATAATTTGTATCCTGGTATTAAAGCATCCCCTGATTTCCCCCTCCCCCCACCCTCATTCCACCATGTTTTAGAGATATCTA